ATTATTATTAATAATTATCAATTATTATTATTATCATTATTTCTAGTCTAACCAATATTTAAATTAAAATGAATCAAGGAAAAATTATTTAGATGATAATAACGGTCCTTGGCCAGCTGAAGAACGTATACAACAGCGCATATATTGCCTTCCAAATGATAAAGATTATGATAAGGTTTTTGATAACTTATTTTTTGCAATGTATTTAATTATACTATCTCAAACATGTATACTGACGTTAAACAAACGTAACAAACTATAACTGAAATGTGGAGAACGATAAGTTATGAAAAATATCAATAATTTTCAACAAATTTTTTTCTATAAAATTTATTTAGTCAATAATTTCAATTTTTCCCAATCATCCTTTGCTATTATCAGTTAGCTTTATCTATTATCATCATGCAACTATAATACAACAAAGTAACCGAATATTTGTTAAAAATCTCATTGTTATTTTAATTTCATTTAATGAAAAAATTTAATATGGTGTAGCAAAAGCCAGCAATTAATTAGCATATTGTAAGTGTTAAACTAATTAATCATATTATTATCATTTTAGGTTGTTAGTCGCCGAAAAAATTGGACAGCAAAACGTCGAGATGAAATTATTTGCACCATTGATGGATTATTTGATGAAATTGCTAGAAAGAATTGTTTAATACCAAAAATTATACCATTTCAAACTTCAAATATAAAAAAGTAAAGTGCAAATTTAAATTATCATTAATACACAAATTTTTAGCATTTTTTTTTTTGAAAAAAATTTGAACAATTTACATTAAATTTGTAATATAATTATTTAAGTTATAATATTTTAGCTTAATTTGATGAAATAACTTATTATATATTGTATATCATAGATTAATAAACAATAATTTTAATAGGAATAAAAGCAATGAATGATTACTTCATAGAATGGAATATCTTAGAAAAACAAACTCTTTAAAACTTTGAAGTTATTGAAAATTCTCAAGTTCTATCTGAAATCATTAAGTAACTCTCTACTACTCATATACTGCTTATGTTATTGTAGTTTTTTACACTGTTTACTACTTATGTTATTGTGAAGTCAGGAATTTATCAGTGATATTTTTGCATAATTAAGGAATCCATTGGTAATGCTATTAATGCGAAATGTGTGAAATCCAAATACAAAGGATTAGATTTAATACATCCTGAAGAATTAACAGAACGATGGTTATCACCACCACTTCCTTGTAAATTATTCATTTATCAACTTCTATCATCTATTTTATCAACTTTTTTCTGTCCCTTCATCTTTTAGCAATACGATTTTGTTTCTGTAACAATATTTTTGCTCAAAAAAGGTTGAACTTCCAAAACGTAATCTCAAAAGACCAATGATTAATCTGAAATCATTTTGCTTTTTCTCTTTTTATACTTCATCTGATTTGATCCTAACAATCACCATCTACTCCTTGTGTATTTGGTCAATACTAAAAGATCATCATTCCGAGAAACGTTTTTATGTGATCTTCCCGAGTTCGGGAACACTTCTCAATGACATAATAAAATAATAATAAAGTAGATTATGAAAATAATAACTATTTATTGACATAATTTCCGAAAAAAAACATAAATTAAATAATTCCTTTGGTGATTACAGCTTCCACCGCTACAAAACGAGAAAAAACAAGAAAACAACGAAAATCACGAATGGTAAAAATTCTCGCTAATCATGATGAGATGTAATTCAGACTGAGCTAATAGTAAGGTATGACCGCAGTAGAAAATGTAACGGATGTTTAAATGGACATAACGTAACACTTATTCAATGCACGGAATATATTCATTAAGCCCAAATTTAACACCGTTCAATAATTATTTCTATATTTCTCATGATTATACGAGAAATTACATCCAAATGGTCGTGATTATAATCTTCTGTGATTACAGATTTCAAGAAATGCTGTAACATTATCATCGACATCAACAAGATTGACAGTAACACGGTCAACATCAGTAGCATATGACGACGCGAGATGTGCTAAGATCATCAATCGTTTGGAT